GCAGCCCTCAGCTTGGCTGTTTTTCTGAATTCACAGTCCAGGTCGACTCCTCCTGTGTCTGACCAGGAGTTGGGGAGGATTTGGGGGGAACCTGGGCCCGCCCTCTACTCCGGGTTCCAGCCCAGGGCCCTGTGGAATGCAGCTGTCTAGAGTGCCTCCTGGAACAGCTGTGTGACAGCTACAACTCCCTGGGCTACTTCCCCAGGGCCTCCTCCCAACACCTTCTTTATCCTCACCATAGGACCTTCCTCCTGGTGTCAGATAATACTTGTACACCTCAGTCCACCAACAGTCCGCGTTCTCACTCTCAACTCCTAGCACCTCTTGCTCCCAGCTCCTCACACGCACACCACAAACTGAAGTGAGCTCCTTTTTAAAACCCAGGTGCCCTGATTAGCCTGCCTTAATTGATTCTAGCAGCTTCTTGACTGGCTGCAGGTCTTCTAATCAATCTGTCTTAATTGACTCCAGAAGGTTCCTGATTGTTCTGGAACCTTCCCTGTTACCTTCCCAAGGAAAAGGGACCTACTTAGCCTGGGGCTAATATATCTGCCTTCTATTACTCTCCTGTAGACATCTGGTCCAACCCTGTCACAGACAGCTGTCCAGAGTTAGCTATCATGATGTAAAAAACTGTAAAAATGTAAAATTTTTAGTAATAAAGACAAAGTCTAACATGTACCTATGCTTCAGCAAGCCAGCAGCTTACTAGGTTCAAGGATATAACCACTTCTCAAATCTTTGTTTCCTTCAGCCTTTAAACTAGGGCAACAATTCCTCTTTACTTTGCACTGTAAATAAAAAGATTCTGCTAGTCCAGAAATAAAGGTAAGTGAAGACAGCACTCTTTATATTGATGTGCTTCCTGTCTTGTTTACGATAAAAACTGTTTTGTTTTTAGAGGGGAAGTGTTCTAAGAAAAGCTTTTATAACAGGTTCAGAAGTATAAAAGCCATTTCAAGACGAGGGCATTTCTACCTTTTATTTCCTTAGTCCTTGAAAGGGCTTTTTAAATGTTAACAGCTGTGACTGCCTTCCTCAGCTCTTTCCCTTTATAGCTATCTTTTTGACTGCTCTTATCTTTCCCCTGCCTTTTCCTCTGAAAACCAAATCCAGAAAGAGTCTAGACCTGAACTTTTGGTTGGCATATGATACTAAAATATATAGCCTGACACACTGAACAGATATCTTGTGCAAGTTAGATTTCAATTAAAAATGATCTTCCCCACATTTCCACTCATATATTGTATATTTTCCACTCTCCTTTGTAGTAATATCTATAGTTGCCTGATGTGATCACTGCTAAATGGAGCTGGTCAGAAAAGAGTATTTTCAGCTCAAAAAAAAATCGGAAAATTCAAGAGTTTTGGTTTTTCAAAATTGTTCAAGAAAAAAAAAACAAAAAAACCCACACCAGAAATTGTTATTGAAAAACCAGAAAATTTTCAAAAGAAACAGATTTTCTGCTAAAATTCCCTTCTTTATAAAATAGCTATTTTACTCTGTAAATATGTTTCAAATTAAAAATGTTGACTGGCTATACTGCTAAGCTTTTTTATAGACAGGTTTCAGAGTAGCAGCCGTGTTAGTCTGTATTCGCAAAAAGAAAAGGAGTACTTGTGGCACCTTAGAGACTAACCAATTTATTTATTTACTTATATATTTGTTAGTCTCTAAGGTGTCACAAGTACTCCTTTTCTTTTTTATAGAGAGGTTCTGCTAAGATTCTCTTTTCCCAGAGGGATAGCTACTTTGAGGATCAGAATTGTAGTAGTTACAATTAAAAATCCTAAACCACTTAGGTTGCTCCTAAATGCACTGAATTTTATGGCTAATCTGTTAGCATATTAACAATTGATCCAGTCCAGTTACACTACACTTTGTATTTAGCATTTCTACAGTGCTTTCAACATGCACAGTGCTGTGCAATAAATCCTCAACGCTGCCATGAGGCAAACAGATATATCATCCCAAGTTTACAGATAAAGCAGAAGGATGAGTTATTTCACCTAAGGTCACATAATGAGTCAGTGGTGCAGCCAGGAGTATAACTCAGGAGATCCTGATTCCCAATCCCATTCCTCTACGTCAAGCCATTTCTACACAGTCAGCTACCAAAAAGCTGTAGATACTATACAAGGTTCTTCAAAGCTAGGGAGACTTTGCAGAAGAGTTTCCATTATAGCCCCCTGCTTTCACATACTTACAACTTTCCAAAACATTCCCCGTTTAGAACTGAAATTTTCTATGCTTTTATCTGCTCAAAGTTTGAGAAAAATCTATTTAGACATTTTTCAATTCCGCTAAAATAAAGCTATAGCCATGCTTCTTTCAAGACAGAGGCCAGAGCTAGAACAAATATCATTGAAGTCTGAAACTCAAAACTTGGCAGAGACACACAATCCTCACTGACATCATTATTATGTGTAATTTATTTCCAGTAGTACTCACAATGCACTGGACTCTTTCGAACTAGAAAAGAAGGCACGCTCCCCACACTGAGGGCAGAACTCATATATAAAGACTCGGACAGAGGATTGAGGGAAAAGTTATCAAATAATTTTGCCACCTCAGTGTTCATCTGTTTTCCAAGGTAATCGATAAATACATTAAACATGAATTCTAATACGTAACCTCACAGCAACCCACCATTAACCTTTGGCTCTGCTGAAGCCAACCATCTAGTCTTACTCTGTTTTCTGTCTTGTGGACAGTTTTTTTCCCCCATGCCATGACTGAACTTCTACTCATAACTACTCAGTTTCCATAACAGCCTCTTGTGAGGTACCTCGTGAAAGGCTTTTGGAAAGTCCAAATCAATGTCATCCAGACCGTTTTTATCCCCTATTTTGTTTACCCACTCAAAGAATTCTAACAGATTGGAGAAGCATAATTTTCCTTTACACAGACATGGTCTTTGGTCCCTATCACATGCACAGGAGTTTCATAATTCTGTTTTTAATTATAGTTTACCAGCTTTCCTGGTGCTGACGTAAGACTCACCAGTAAAAGCCTATACCAGGATTACTTAAAACACCTCTAGAAAGAGAGGTACAAAATTTGCCATCCTTCACTCCTAACTGATTTTAATGAAAAAGTCCATATTTTTGTCAGAGGATCAATCACTTAATTCTTACGTTACTCCAGAAGCCTTGGATGAATATCATCCAGTCCTGATGACTTGTGGCTCTTTAAATTAGAAATCCCTTTCCTCAGCCTTCCTGCAAGTATACACACCTTAGACTGGGTTTATTGCAGGTCATTTGTGAGAGCCCATTATTAAAATACTACAGGGACAACATTGTTCCTATACAACTAACAATACAATAAGCCACATGGATCTTATTATTTTACAATTTTACAAAAAACCTGCGCTGCATATCAGAGCAAGCCACAATTTAAAAGAAAGCTCATCTGAGCTTTAGGTTAGTTTTAGGGTATAACAATATTTCTCATTTCTTTGTGCTTTTCTTAAAACAATAAATTGCAACATTTTGCAATTCCATTCCTTAATGATGCTATTGTTGTGGAGATAAACAATCACAGCTATGTTTCTTTTGGAATCAGGTGAGACAACACAATCTTTTTGGTAAGAAGTTTTTGTTTTTTTTTTAAATAAGGAAACAAGTCCTTAGGCTAAGCAACACATAAACTGACTGTTGTAAATGTTCAATATAAAAAGTGAAAAAAAATACAATTCCTCTACATTTTCAAGGCACTGGAACTCCCATTAACATTTACAGAAGTCAAGGTGCAGCTATAACTCTACAAAACTTTTGGAAAGTTAAAGCCAGTGTGGTTTTATTACTACTGTATCACTATTCTACTGTGGGATAATATTGTGATTAAAAAGGTAGACATTTTAATTAGATTAAAATATGACTAGAGTTAGTGGGCCATCTACAAAAGAGATTATTTTACATTCCCAGACAAAATTTTAAAACTCTCCATTAAGATTGCAAATTAATTCAAAAGAACATCATCTTAACATTGTATTATAAAACAAAAAGCAAAAATTTGAAAGCCAGGAAATTCAGAATTAAGTTTCTACAAACAACTTTAACTCTGGCCTTGTATCTCTATCCAAATCTACCTACCTAACCTGGATACTGTTCTATCCAGTGTACTACAAAACACTAGATCTGCTGAACATTCTACTCCAGTGGTTCTCAAACTTTTGTACTGGTGACCCCTTTCACATAGCAAGCCTCTGAGTGCAACCCCCCTTATAAATTAAAACACTTTTAAATATATTTAACACCATTATAAATGCTGGAGGCAAAGTGGGGTTTGAGGTGGAGATTGACAGCTCACAACCAGTTTGAGATTCCCTGTTCTACTCTGTCTACACTCCAGAATGCTCATCTATCAGCCACTCCTGCTTTTCTTTGATTCTGCTTCACTTCTGGGAGGGAACTGGAGGGGGAGGGTGGAATCTGAAGGACAGGCTTGGGCAATTTTGAGAATTTTACACAGGTGACTGAGAACCTTACATCCCATTTTCCAACGGGACTGTCCATGGGACTTAGGCTTCTAAAAATGATTAAGTCACTTTGGAAAATGGAATTTAGGCTCCTCAGTCACTTAGGCATTTTTGAAAATTTGATTCTTTGTATCCACCAAGAAATTTTCCTTGTTTAACTTTAATATGTTTTTACATAAATTTAGTTAAACCAATGCAAACTCTGTGTGAGCTCTCAGTTTAAGAGTGGCTTATTTTGGTTTAGTAAAAACAGATTCCTTAAGTAATCAAGATAAACATGATTTAAAAACTGAAATAAAAATGTCAGCACATTCATTTGCATCAGTTTAACTTAATCAGTTTAAAATCTTTCCTTTCCTTAAACTGGTGCAATTTTCTAGTAGAATGAAAAAATCACAGTGGAGGAGGATTACTATTAGTATTAATGGTAGGTTTCTGAGTAGCAGCCATGTTAGTCTGTATCTGCAAAAAGAAAAAGAGTACTTGTGGCACCTTAGCCCTGGTCTACACTAGGACTTTAGGTCGAATTTAGCAGCATTAAATCGATGTAAACCTGCACCTGTCCACACGATGAAGCCCTTTAGTTCGACTTAAAGGGGTCTTAAAATCGATTTCCGTACTCCACCCCTGACAAGTGGATTAGCGCTTAAATCGGCCTTGCCGGGTCAAATTTGGGGTACTGTGGACACAATTCGACGGTATTGGCCTCTGGGAGCTATCCCAGAGTGCTCCATTGTGACCGCTCTGGACAGCACTCTCAACTCAGATGCACTGGCCAGGTAAACAGGAAAAGAACTGCGAACTTTTGAATCTCATTTCCTGTTTGGCCAGCGTGGCAAGCTGCAGGTGACCATGCAGAGCTCATCAGCAGAGGTGACCATGATGGAGTCCCAGAATTGCAAAAGAGCTCCACCATGGACCGAACGGGAGGTACGGGATCTGATCGCTGTATGGGGAGAGGAATCCGTGCTATCAGAACTCTGTTCCAGTTTTCGAAATGCCAAAACCTTTGTCAAAATCTCCCAGGGCATGAAGGACAGAGGCCATAACAGGGATCCGAAGCAGTGCCACGTGAAACTTAAGGAGCTGAGGCAAGCCTACCGGAAAACCAGAGGGGCGAACGGCCGCTCCGGGTCAGAGCCCCAAACATGCCGCTTCTATGATGAGCTGCATGCCATTTTAGGGGGTTCAGCCACCACTACTCCAGCCGTGTTGTTTGACTCCTTCAATGGAGATGGAGGCAACATGGAAGCAGGCTTGGGGGATGAAGAAGATGATGATGAGGAGGAGGAGGTTGTAGATAGCTCACAGCAAGCAAGCGGAGAAACTGGTTTTCCTGACAGCCAGGAACTGTTTCTCACCCTGGACCTGGAGCCAGTACCCCCCGAACCCACCTAAGGCTGCCTCCTGGACCCGGCAGGTGGAGAAGGGACCTCTGGTGAGTGTACCTTTTAAAATACTATACATGATTTAAAAGCAAGCATGTGAAAGGATTACTTTGCCCTGGCATTCGCGGCTCTCCTGGATGTACTCCCAAAGCCTTTGCAAAAGGTTTCTGGGGAGGGCAGCCTTATTGCGTCCTTCATGGTAGGACTTCACTGTACAACAAAGCATTGCAGTGTATGTTTGCTGGCGTTCAAACAACATCCGTTCTTTATCTCTCTGTGTTATCCTCAAGAGAGTGAGATATCATTCATGGTCTCCTGGTTGAAATAGAGTGCTTTTCTTCAGGGGACATTCAGAGGAGCCCGTTCCTGCTGAGCTGTTTGCCTGTGGCTGAGCAGAAATGTTCCCCGCTGTTAGCCACGGGGAGGGTTGAGGGGGTAGCCACGCGGTGGGGGGAGGCAAAATGCGACCTTGTAACGAAAGCACATGTGCTATGTATGTAATGTTAACAGCAAGGTTTACCCTGAAAGACTGTAGCCACTGTTTTATAAAATGTGTCTTTTTAAATACCGCTGTCTCTTTTTTTTTCTCCACCAGCTGCATGTGTTTCAATGATCACAGGATCTTCTCCTTCCCAGAGGCTAGTGAAGATTAGAAAGAAAAAAAAACGCACTCGTGATGAAATGTTCTCTGAGCTCATGCTGTCCTCCCACACTGACAGAGCACAGACGAATGCATGGACGCAAATAATGTCAGAGTGCAGGAAAGCACAAAATGACTGGGAGGAGAGGTGGCGGGCTGAAGAGAGTAAGTGGCGGGCTGAAGAGAGTAAGTGGCGGGCTGAAGCTCAAATGTGGCGGCAGCGTGATGACAGGAGGCAGGATTCAATGCTGAGGCTGCTGGAGGACCAAACCAGTATGCTCCAATGTATGGTTGAGCTGCAGCAAAGGCAGCTGGAGCACAGACTGCCACTACAGCCCCTGTCTAACCAACCGCCCTCCTCCCCAAGTTCCATAGCCTCCACACCCAGAAGCCCAAGAACGTGGTGGGGGGGCCACCGGCCAACCAGCCACTCCACCACAGAGGATTGCCCAAAAAAAAGAAGGCTGGCATTCAATAAATTTTAAAGTTGTAAACTTTTAAAGTGCTGTGTGGCATTTTTCTTCCGTCCTCCACCACCCCTCCTGGGCTACCTTGGTAGTCATCCCCCTATTTGTGTGTTGAATGAATAAAGAATGCATGAATGTGAAGCAACAATGACTTTATTGCCTCTGCAAGCAATGATTAAAGGGAGGAGGGGAGGGTGGTTAGCTTGCAGGGAAGTAGAGTGAACCAAGGGGCGGGGGGTTTCATCAAGGAGAAACAAAGAGAACTTTCACACCGTAGCCTGGCCAGTCATGAAACTTGTTTTCAAAGCTTCTCTGATGCGTACCGCGCCCTCCTGTGCTCTTCTAACCGCCCTGGTGTCTGGCTGCGCGTAACCAGCAGCTAGGCGATTTGCCTCAACCTCCCACCCCGCCATAAACGTCTCCCCCTTACTCTCACAGATATTGTGGAGCACACAGCAAGCAGTAATAACTGTGGGAATATTGGTTTTGCTGAGGTCTAAGCGAGTCAGTAAACTGCGCCAGCGCGCCTTTAAACATCCAAATGCACATTCTACCACCATTCTGCACTTGCTCAGCCTGTAGTTGAACAGCTCCTGACTACTGTCCAGGCTGCCTGTGTACGGCTTCATGAGCCATGGCATTAAGGGGTAGGCTGGGTCCCCAAGGATACATATAGGCATTTCAACATCCCCAACAGTTATTTTCTGGTCTGGGAATAAAGTCCCTTCCTGCAGCTTTTGAAACAGATCAGAGTTCCTGAAGATGCGAGCGTCATGTACCTTTCCCGGCCATCCCACGTTGATGTTGGTGAAATGTCCCTTGTGATCCACCAGGACTTGCAGCACTATTGAAAAGTACCCCTTGCGGTTTATGTACTCGCCAGTTTGGTGCTCCGGTGCCAAGATAGGGATATGGGTTCCGTCTATGGCCCCACCACAGTTAGGGAATCCCATTGCAGCAAAGCCATCCACTATGACCTGCACATTTCCCAGGGTCACTATCCTTGATATCAGCAGATCTTTGATTGCGTGGGCTACTTGCATCACAGCAGCCCCAACAGTAGACTTGCCCACTCCAAATTGATTCCCGACTGACCGGTAGCTGTCTGGCGTTGCAAGCTTCCACAGGGCTATCGCCACTCGCTTCTCAACTGTGAGGGCTGCTCTCATCTTGGTATTCATGCGCTTCAGGGCAGGGGAAAGCAAGTCACAAAGTTCCATGAAAGTGCCCTTACGCATGCGAAAGTTTCGCAGACACTGGGAATCATCCCAGACCTGCAACACTATGCGGTCCCACCAGTCTGTGCTTGTTTCCTGAGCCCAGAATCGGCATTCCACAGCATGAACCTGCCCCATTAGCACCATGATGCATGCATTGGCAGGGCCCATGCTTTCAGAGAAATCTGTGTCCATGTCCTGATCACTCACGTGACCGCGCTGACGTCGCCTCCTCGCCCGGTATCGCTCTGCCAGGTTTTGGTGCTGCATATACTGCTGGATAATGCGTGTGGTGTTTAATGTGCTCCTAATTGCCAAAGTGAGCTGAGCAGCCTCCATGCTTGCCTTGGTATGGTGTCCACACAGAAAAAAGGCGCGGAACGATTGTCTGCCGTTGCTCTGACAGAGGGAGGGGCGACTGACGACACGGCTTACAGGGTGCTAAAATCAACAAAGGGGGTGTATTTACATCAAGGAGTATTTCAGGCAGGACTTCACGGAGGGTTCCAATAAGAAATGGTGCACCTAAGTTATTGTTCTTATTGGAACAAGGAGGTTAGTCTGGCCTCTGATTGATACATGGCTAGATTTACCTTGCTGCACCTTCTCTGTGAGTGACTGCAGTGTGACCTAGAGGAATGAGTCCCCTAGACGGGGGAGGGGGAGGGAAGCAAATGAGTACAAAACAAATCTGGTCTATTTCTTGTTTTGATTCACTCCATCTATCTTTTACATCTTTGGCTGGCAGCAGACGGTGCAGAAGGACTGCATGCCATCCACATCTCATGGCTGCCTGGCAGAAGATGATGGATAGGACTGCTAGCAATCCGTATCGCCTGCCTGCTCACCATAAGACGGTTCAATAGGACTGACTGCAGAACTAAAGAGAATGACCTGGTCAAGTCACTCCAAATTTAGTCCCTGTGCCCATGTCTGCCCAGACGCTCCTGGCCGACGTGGCCAGGAGCACCTCGGACATGACAATGACGGCTACCAGTCGTACTGTACCGTCTGCTGCCACAAGGCAAGGGGTTGATGCTGCTGTGTAGCAATGCAGTACCACGTCTGCCAGCACCCAGGAGACATAGGGTGACGGCTACCTGAGCGGGCTCCATGCTTGCCGTGGTATGGCGTCTGCACAGGTAACTCAGGAAAAAAGGTGCGAAACGATTGTCTGCCCTTTCTTTCATGGAGGGAGGGAGGGAACGGGCACTGACGATATGTACCCAGAACCACCCGCGACAATGTTTTAGCCCCATCAGAGTGCTCCATTGTGACTGCTCTGGACAGCACTCTCAACTCAGATGCATGATTGTTTGCCGTTGCTCTGACGCAGGGAGGGGCGACTGAGGACACGGCTTACAGGGTTGGCTTCAGGGAGCTAAAATCAACAAAGGGGGTGTCTTTACATCAAGGAGTATTTCAGGCAGGACTTCACGGAGGGTTCCAATAAGAAATGGTGCACCTAAGTTATTGTTCTTATTGGAACAAGGAGGTTAGCCTGGCCTCTGATTGATACATGGCTAGATTTACCTCGCTGCACCTTCTCTGTGAGTGACTGCAGTGTGACCTAGAGGAATGAGTCCCCTAGATGGGGGAAGGGGGGGAAGCAAATGAGTACAAAACAAATCTGGTCTATTTCTTGTTTTGATTCACTCCATCTATCTTTTACATCTTTGGCTGGCAGCAGATGGTGCAGAAGGACTGCATGCCATCCACATCTCATGGCTGCTCGGCAGAAGATGGTGCAATACGACTGCTAGCCATCCTCATCTCTTGCCTGCCCGGCAGAAGATGGTACAGTACGACTGCTAGCAATCCGTATCGCCTGCCTGCTCACCATAAGACGGTTCAATAGGACTGACTGCAGGACTAAAGAGAATGACCTGGTCAAGTCACTCCAAATTTAGTCCCTGCGCCCATGTCTGCCCAGGCGCTCCTGGCCGACGTGGCCAGGAGCACCTCGGACATGACAATGATGGCTACCAGTCATATTGCACCGTTTGCTGCCAGAAGGCAATGGGTTGCTGCTACTGTGTAGCAATGCAGTACCACATCTGTCAGCACCCAGAAGACATAGGGTGACGGTTACCTGAGCGGGCTCCATGCTTGCCATGGTATGGCGTCTGCACAGGTAACTCAGGAAAAAAGGCGCGAAACGATTGTCTGCCCTTGCTTTCACGGAGGGAGGGAGGGAACGGGGACCTGACGATATGTACCCAGAACCACCCGCGACAATGTTTTAGCCCCATCAGGCATTGGGATCTCAATTCCAATGGGCAATGGAGACTGCGGGAACTGTGGGATAGCTACCCACAGTGCAACACTCCGGAAGTCGATGCTTCCCTCGGTACTGTGGAAGCACTCCGCCGAGTTAATGCACTTAATGCACTTTGAGCATTTTCTGTGGGGACACACACTCGAATATATAAAACCGATTTCTAAAGAAACGACTTCTATAAATTTGACCTTATTCCGTAGTGTAGACATACCCTTAGAGACTAACAAATTTATCTGAGTATAAGCTTTCGTGAGCTACAGCTCACTTCATAGGATGCATGCATGAAGTGAGCTGTAGCTCACGAAAGGTTATGCTCAAATAAATTTGTTAGTCTCTAAGGTGCCACAAGTACTCCTTTTCTTTTTGTTAGTATTAATGTAGGAGCCACAGAGATGGATGTGCATTTATCTGTCTAGATTTACTGAGTCTGAGGGAAAATTTCAGTTTCATTAAAATTTATCAAGGCAGTTCCTCTAGATTAAGACAATCCCAGAAAAGAGGAACCTCTGCTTCCAGGAAAAAGAGAAACCAAAGGGAGAACTACTTAGATGAATACCATCCAGTTCTGGTGACCCAAGATATTTTCACCTCCATGAGTGACATGTCACTAATTTACCTCCTAAGGCTCCTGAGCAGTAGCAACAGGTGTGAGGGAAGTCAGGCTCTTATTCCCTGTACTCTTTAGGAGTGGTAATCAGAGGGCTTTGGGGCTCCAGATACAATGCAGCAATAACTGATGGAACCAGGAGATGGGGGAGAAGGTATGGTTGTTGCATGAGAGGGAATCTGAGGGAGTTAACAGAGTGAACCTTGAAGGAGTTGCTATAGTAGGGAAATAGGACCCAGGGATAGGTTACTGGGTGTGAGTAGGAGAACCTGTAGGAGGAGAAAAGATACTAACTTGGTTTGAGTGAGAAACATAGCCTGGAAGCCAGAAAGGGCTGGGGCAGGGAGCAATCAGAGAGGAGGCAGAAAAAAAAGGCAGAAAAAAGCCTGTCTGTTTCATACGTCACCACAGTGCACTTGAGAGGGGTAATTGTTAGGAAAATGCTGCTCAGTCCCTGAAACAATGATTGGTGTATGAGATCTTAGCAAGCTGAGGGAATATGTGTGTGTATGTGTGAGGGAGATCCACAAGCATTGTTATTTACTGTGTATTACTATGGTGCACACAAACCTTAATTCTGAAGCAGGACATCATCGTGCAAGGCACTGTACAAACACAGAACAAAAATGTAGTCCCCACCCCAAACAGCTTACAAGCATGACTATTACACTCTGTGTATGATACTTAGCAAAATTGTGGCACCCCAAATGAAATAGAAAAAAAGAAAGAAGTCACATACACCAGTGACAAATGCACTCGCTTACTTTAGGTAAATGTTTCCCTAAGGTCCTAGGTCTTCTGAATCTGAGTCTCATGAGAAAATTGCCTTGCTTGGCCCTCATGAAAGGTACTTTCTTGGAATTATGGGAGTGGGCCTGCACAGGTTGTAGATTTATAGGCTTCCACAGCACCATATAATGGCAGAAATGTAGTAATGCAGCCTCGTATGGTGATGAATTGTTTATTTTGTTTCTTTGTTTTTTTCTGGTGTTGCCTTTTCTTGGGTGGATAGGCATGTTCTCATTTACCGCTGCACTCAGGAGCCCCAGTCAGAGCTCAGGTCCTATTGCACTAGGTCTGTACAGATATAACCGCTTGCCACAACAGGCCACTGAAGCCTCAGGTGAAAATTGCATTAAAAAAACCCTCCACACAAATATAAATGAAATTCAAACTAGCATGCACATTCCCTGCCTAACAGAACATGGGCCTATTTTTACCATGTATCTGGCCCCTCCCCCCCGCTACATATTCAGGTGAAGCCCTGTCACCTACCGATGGAAAGTGCTGGAAAATGGCCAGGTATTGTTATTTCACCCCTTACTTGAGGGGTGGGGGGCTCTCAGGGGCTGGCCACGCCCTCCGCCCACCTGCACCTAGGACAGGGTGACCAGATGTCCCGATTTCACAGGGAGAGGGCGAGACGCGCCTCATGGCTTTTGTATCCGAAAAGCGGCGCCCCGGGCTCACCAGGGCAGGCGCGGCAGCGGGGAGGCGTCCCCAGCAGGGGGCGCTGTGTTCCCCTTTAACACCCGGCCTCAGACTTCTGCGCCAATTGCCTGTCGACCACTTTTCGTGGAAGCAGCGGGCGCGGGGAGGCAGCCCCACGAGCGCCCGTTTGTACCCGCTGGGGCGGGGGGGAGAGGGAAGGAGGCGAAGGGTTTAGTAAAAAGTAAACGGCGATTTTGTTACGCCGGCGGGTCGGGGACTCGAACCCCGGTCTTCCCAGCCTCGGCGTGTTGTTATTCAGCAGGACCCGGCTGCTCCAGTGTTTTCGTCGCCACCTGCGAGGACCTGGACGCTTCGCGCCTCGGCCAATCATGGGCCGGTACCGGCCCCCTTTCTCCCGCCGCAGAGGATTCTGGGACGTGAAGTCTCTCCCGCCCTCCACCGCTGCGTGTCACCAGAGGGGAACGACAACTCCCAGCGTGCCTGGCGCCTGCCGGGATCTTGACCTGCTCGCGGGGGCTGCCCAGGCTGCCGCTGTGTTGCCGCCAGCCAGGCCGCGCAGGAAGACGTGAGGGCCGCGGCCTGGGCGCCGATCCCGCAGCTCTTGCCCGGCGGCCTGAGGGAAGATGAGTTCGGCCAGGGAGACGCAGCCCCGCCACGGCGTGAAGCGAGCGGCCTCCCCCGATGTAAGTAGCTGGGCGAGGAGGCGGAGGAGGCGAGCGGGCCAGGGAGGCCTGGGGCGACGAGGGGAGAGGGAGACTATCCCCTTCGCCCAGGGTCAGGGCGGGGTCGGCTTGTCGCCGCTCGGTGCAATGGCCCAGGCTCCGTCCCCCTCTCGAGGCTCTGGCGCTGCCCGGTGGCGGGGAGGGACCGGAGGCTTTCCCTTGGGCTGTCCCGGCGCGTGTCCCGCTTGAACAGACTCGCTCCCCCGCTGCGAAGGCCGCCCGCCTTCCCTGAGCGGCCAGGGGGGAGTAGGCGGGTCAAAGGGGATGTGCCTCAGGGCCGGGAACGCCGTTTGCTGCATGACTGCCCGGTGCTCGCTGTGTAATGGAGGTGGTCGGTTGCCGCTGCGAGCCCGGCCTGCGAGCCGCTGCTCGGGTCTTCGCACCATTCAGCGCTTGTTGTGCCTCCCGGAGAGGCCCGCATCTCTCTTCCCCCGTGGTCAAGATTTTATTTTATAGTTGATAGACGTGAATCTTGATCAAGTTCAAAGGTGGCTTGTCAGTTAACTGTACGATTATTTTTCATTTGCTGGAGGTGAGTTTTCTCTCTCCCTTCCTATGCAAGTTCTTCATGGATTTATTCTTGCTAGATATGTTAGCTTTTAGCAAATGGCTTCAGAAGTCGGAATCCGTTCTTGCATTTTTAAAATTCATTCAATGGCTTGTTGATGTTCTAAGAAGATCTCTTTCTAGTGCCTGTTGACCACCTTTGAGGCTGCATCTGCATCAGTTTAGTTTATTAAAAGTCCTTCCTGCTCCCTTCCCTGCTCACTCTTCTCAAGAGCCTATTTATTAAAAAATCCATGTCTTTAAAACACTTCTCGAAGTTGACATTATTAAATGAGTGAGGTAGGTCATGATCATGTGCCTTAGTCATGTATTGAAATTGCATGACTGTAAATGTTGCATCATAGTGCATTGGAAAAATATCCAAATTATGTATAACTTGGAATATCTTATTTAATATAAACAAGCTTTTAGTTGAAACTGATCTATTTGTTTTTGTTTTTTAAAATAATTTATTACCTTCTATCTTCCAGCAGGGATCGAGCAGCTGGGAGGCAGTAGACTTAGGTAATGAAGAAAGAAAGCAAAAGTTCTTGAGACTTATGGGAGCAGGAAAGGTGAGATTTTGTTAATTATCTATTTAAATCCAAGCATTCCATGTAAATAAAGGGTGGTTGCTATTAGGGAAGGATTTTTAAAATGACAAAACAATTCACTGATCACATTGAAAGTGATTGCATAGTGTTTTCTGTTTTCTTTGGAAGTGAAGATGCATTAGTGTTATTGATAAGATACTGCTTCCTTGAAGATCAAAGTTTTTTTCTTTAAAACATCTTACTTATGTAAGCAACCAGCCTGGAGTAACTCAGTAGCAAACACAATCAGATGGCTTGGAATTCAATTACTTATACAGGGCAAAATCTAAATCCACTTACATGTGTGGACATTGCATATTGTAAGTTTTGTTTTTCATGTGATTAATGTAGAAGGTACCCAGTGATATATAATCACGAGAGACCAATATTGGAGCCTGAATGTTTTCATATGTGCCTAAAATATAGCTTAATGTTGCAATTTTTTTCTTTTATACAGGCGTCAATTACTAGATGTGGTGGCTTCTAGTTAAATTGAAGGCAAAAATTAAAATTTGCCTTCCATTAAACTAATTAATTTTCTCTAATGTTGTATTTCCCTAACCTAGGGGGAGTCGTCATTCTCTGCCCTAACAGAGTAATTTAGTGCTATTGGGGATAGTAGCATGACCCTGGATTAACCCAGGGATTTACATGAACTGCAGGTTGTGCTCCCACAGAGGCTCCTAATGAAACTGAAGATGGTGCTGGCTCTCATGTTCAGGGCTGTGGGTTAAGGCCCATTGGCCACATCTTTGCTTATCCTGTGTGAGTGTTTCGTTGGAAAAGAACAAACAGCCCTACGGAGCTACCAGTTCAGTCCATCAGATGGCCTTCTGTCCAGTAAGGGAAGGAAAAGAAGGAAAAAGAAAACAGAAAATAAAGATGTGTAGGGGAGGATTCTGAGCTGCCAAGTCATTTCTAGGGGAATCAAAGAAAGGCTGAGTTGTTACTGTAATTGGTAAAACCTGGATTGTAACTTGAAACTTTGTTGTGGATTATAATTCTGGGTTCAGGTGATCTGTTGTCCCTCCTTCTGCTGCAACTTCAGCAGGGCTGTAGTCATCCTTTCCTTTTTACTTGCCAGTGTCACTCTAAAGAGGAAAAGATTTGGGGGTTGGAAGGGTAGAGAGAGAGTACCTGGGGTTTCCTCCAATATGATCAGTGGAAGGTAAAAATTAATCTAGCTTTGTCAGCAGATAGTCATTGGCAGATGAAAGAGCTCATTAATACATGTTCTCTTACCCCCCCCCCCCCCCAAAAAAAAGCTTGTTAATAGTGAGCAGTAGGGTGTGTCTATCCAAGAATTCTAGTATGTAGGTAGAGCTGTCAGAGTTCACAAATTGCATTTTCTTTTAGAAAGAACACACTGGCCGCCTTGTTATCGGAGACCACAGATCAACTTCTCATTTCAGAACAGGTCAGTTTGATAGCTGATGCAAATTAGAAGTCTGTAAACTAACATTGATCTAGGGAGGCAGAGCTGAGTCTTTGTACCTTCACTACTGTTGTAGTGGGGGCTTTCAATTTTGTGACTAAAAGTGAGATTCTGGGAGCTGGCATAATCTCATACCCTCTTTTACTAGTCTGTATAGTGACTGAAAAAGACATGTGCAGCAAAAGTAGGCCTACTTCCTCCCGCCCAGATTCAGCAAAGCACTTCAGCATGTGCTTAAATTTAAGCACATGCTGAAATGCTTAGCAAAACTGGGGCCCACATATGCAGTCTCCTTTTTTTGGCATAGAAGCAAAACAATCATATTGCTGCATCAGCACAGTGAGTATAGCTGCAAACTGGTAGGCTGCACTGTATTATGTTTCATTCATCATCACCAGTTACACTACCAGCTGATGACCTTTGATGGAGGATGTTGTGTATAAATTAGACCTGTGCTTTGATTTTTTTCAGAGTCCCTGTTGATTATGTAGTCCTGATAGTCCTAGAAAGATTTTTTTTTCTTGTAAACTGAGCAAACCTTGAGATGAATTACCATGGACTTAAAACATGCAAAACTATAACTTATTTCTAATCAGTAGATGACTCTGCAAGGTGGTGTGTTTTTCCCATAGATTCTGATGATTAACTATCAGAAGCCAAGATATCTCTGACCTTATCATAAGAAATAAAGTTTGAAATTGGACAAAGTATGGAATAAGAGCTTTGTTAAAACCTCTCTTAGCTGTATAGAATAGGAACTACCAGACTCCTCTGCATTTTCTCCAGTTTGTCTTGGTAGTAACAACTTCTTAGCTGATCTAGGTAGGCCATGTGGTCTAGTGGAAAAAGCACTGGACTGGGATGTGAGAAACTAGAGTTCTATTGCTGGTTCTGTCACTGGCCTGTTTGGTGACCTTGGGCAAGTCAGTGATGAAACTTACGTCCTTTGTGAAGTACTTTGGGATCGATATCTGAAAGAGTTATTATTGATCACTAGCAGGCAGTTGTGATTAGGTTTTGACAAGAGCTCTGCTCCTTGCTAAAAGACCAAAGCAGCCAACTTCCTCTGTTCCTGTGTAAAGTAATCTTCTTTGTCTGCTATCCTCCTGTTTCCCACAGTCGGCAGTCTTTTTCTCCTTTAATAATAATGTATATAGTTACCTTCAAAGTACTGTACAAACACTAATTCTCACAGCAAGGATAAGTAATTATCTCTCATTTTACAAGGGAGGAAGTCGGTGGCAGATGGGAGTAGAACTAGAAGTCCCTGGTTTCTCTCCCACAGTAAACTAGGCCAAGGGTTCTTAAACATTTTCAGAATGTAGGCTATACCTAGATAGACATGATATACCTAGATATAATATACCCATATACCCATACTGTAGGCTATACCTAGATAGACATACCTTATTGAAATAAATTGTAATAACTTATTGAAATAAGCAGCAGGATAGCATAAGTGAAAGCATCTATTTAATAGACATAAAAAAGAGCTAATTTTCAAATTGCTTCCCATGGCTGGTGAAAAGAAAGCTAAGCAGCTTCTGTTTTATGTGTGAGATGAAGTGGCCCAAGACACAGGTAGTTCATCTAAAATGTAGCAAATTAAGTCCAGGAGTGAACTTCTGACTTACTGCTGTGTGTGTGCTACTTAATTTTAACCATTGGTTTGCAGTGCCTTGATTTGCCAGTGTAGAGACTGCTTGCTGCACAAATGAATGTCTTGAAGCTCCTGCTCCAATATAACATTTTCATCTTGCTATGAAAAATGGTAATAGTGGGAGGATGGGGTAATGTTAAAAATGAACTGTTTTAGTGTAGACAAGTGGTTGATTTTAGAAGGTAGTATTACATTCTAGTAAACCCTGTTTATAGTACTACCCACAGTACAATATTGAGCCTGTGGTGAACTTGATAATCATTCCACCTTTATTACAATGTAAGAGTATTTTACTTGCAACTTTACAAGGGTGATGGTGTATTCACTATGCAATAAATAGTCAACCCAATAAATTGTGTTAAATCTTTTGATACAGTGTTTAATCCTAAAGATCTGGTAATTTTGTGTAATCAGATGTTTTTGTTAATTTGACTGAACCATAACCAAGTACACTGGACATGCAGGGGAAGAAGACAAGAAAATGAATGAAGACCTAGAGTCTCAGTTCCAGCAAAGCATGGACAGCACTATGTCCGGAAGAAATCGACGACACTGTGGACTTGGTTTCAGTGAGGTAGTAGTTTACTTACTCTTATTGATGCAGACAGGCTTGCTCCAGTGGGCAAAGAAAATGAATGACAAACATCGCATGGCCACTTTTTTTTTTTAAACAAGTCAAACTTACTCTATCCCAGTGCCCCTACAAGTTTACCAAGGACAAATCTGCGGGAGCCAAGAGCTTCCTGTGCTTGGACACAGAGGTACCAGTGAGAATTCTTGAACACATGAAAACATTCATGCTCTACAGTAGCTAGATTATGTTAAGCTCCTGAGAGATGTAATATAGCAGGTGATTGACAGCACATAGCAGCTCTACCCATAGGAGATTTAGCATAGGAAGTGAAAAATATTTTATTCAGTTGACTGCAAGGGGAATTTAAGTAGACAGAACATTAACCAAAATAATTATGGGACTCTCACCTGCTGTGGAATCTTTAATGACTACAATGGTTAAGGCTTTTCACATCTTCCAAAAACCAGTACCCACATGAGTAGCACAATGCCTTAAGACAAGCTTGGGGCATCCATTCAGCACTAACTCAGATAGAGAAATACACTCCCAGTTGATAGCCCCATTTCTTGAGATTCCCTAGGAAAGGCTGGGGGATGCTTCCTCTTCATGTACTGACCTAGATTAAACTGCTTTAGCTCAAAGAGGTGCAATCAGAACCTGAGGTTCTGTGACTGCATGCTCCAGTTATAATTATGTTGTGTAGTTCTAATGTGTAAGAAGGGGTAGGGAGATAGAAATCTGGAAGCGGTAGGAAATTACTATTGGACATAGATGAAATCTTCAAATGATCCTATATCTCCTCAGTCATGTAGTTATGAGGCAGTCTCAAGGGAGGGAAGGATAGGACCACCAGTGTCCGGAGGAGGCAGAAAAGTAAAGGAAGACAAAATAAAATTGGTAGTTATGAAACTATACCTCTTTAAATGAAGCCTAGAAAAAAGATATTTGAGCATGAGGTTGAAATATCAGTGAATGTTTACTCTTGGTCAGAGCTAATACTGATGATTGTAGAAAACTTTCTGAGGTTGCTGGACTTGAGTTAAAGAACCACACTAGCAAACGCTTACTATTCCAAACATACATGCACGTTTTCCCTTAAAGGCATATTTGGGTAAATAGAAGCTATACCTGCATTGGCCCATCCTTATCAGATTGTGCATTGAGAATTTTTTCCATGGTACTATGTGCTGTATTTGCAAAAAGTATCAGGTTTACAAAGCATTGCAGTCTTGCACATGAGTTCCTGATGACCCTCACATAAAAATAATGTGGCTCACATTAAAGTTGGCTACAGTATGGCAGCAATTCTCTTGCATCAAGCATGACTCTTTGAACTCCTACCAAAGCTAAAGTAGTAACGAAGCAGTAAAAACCTTGCATGGTCAATTGCATTGGATAGTGTTTCCAAGTTCTCTTGTTGGTTCCTTCATGTTGAGTAATATGAGGCTAGAGGTCAACCACAAAGTAGCTGCATTATTGTATGCACACAAATTCCTGCTAAAAAATCCTTCCCGGCATAAAGCATTATTGTTTAAAAACTTACTTCCTTTGCTGTTTAAATGTTAGCAAACAAAATGGAGAGGGTCCAGTTACTGCATTAGTAATGTCAAGGGATCCTAGAAGTTTAGTACCATTTACCACTGTAATTCAGGTGTCAAGGAAGTTGACAATCAGTCATTCCAGTATCTGACAGACTAATCCTCTCTATATTAAAAACTGAGAGGGTTTTATCTGGTACTTCTGTTATTTAATCCCCTGTCCTATCTGCAACCACTAACACAAAAGGAACAATGTAGCAACTAGTGAAAACTCATTGAACTTGTATGTTAAATGGCAAAATGAGAGGTTGCTTGGGGGAATGATTTAGCTTCCTTTTGTAATCTGACTTTTATTCTAGCTGGAGGAGGCTGAAGGACAAGATGATGTGAACAGATACTCTCCTGAACCTGAAAGTCCAGAGGACTCTGAAAGTGACTCTGAGTCAGAGCGAGAGGAATCTGCGGAAGAACTGCAATCTGCTGAAAAAGACAGTGAAGCTGATGATCCAGAAAGCAAGAAAGATGTGAAAAGCAATTATAAAATGATGTTTGTTAAATCCAGCGGTTCATAACTTCAGGTCTAATAAGTCTTTGTATTTAAAGTACATTAAGTCTTTTTGTTAGTGCAAAGTGGAGGACTGCTTACAGCACAGATTTTTGTATTATGATTTTAAAAAAACCCTTCTTTTAGATGAAAAAAAATAGTGCTTGCTTTCAGATGCCATGGATGACATTTTTATGGGCATGAGTGTAATTTTTTGGGGGGTAAAGTATAAACAGATGCATTGGATGAAAATAAATTTAATTCCCACTCTCCTTCCATTGTAGTTGTCAAACCTCTGACACTACTTTCTTTTATTGGCGTCCTTTTGGCTTGGATGTTTTTGTTTTTGAAATAAGGTTTCATTAGAGTTGCCTGATGCTACATTGATTCTGATACTGTAGCAATGACATCAGTATTCTGCAGTGTAATACAACTTCAAATCTTGGTTCTGTCTGGTAATACCAGCAGTTAGTCTGACATAATTGCCAGAGAACAGGTTTATTCATTTAGGTCCTGATTCTGTAATGAGGTTGTGATTACAAATCCCTGTTCCCCTGCAGAGTCCTACTGATGTCTATGGCATTCCATCAGTGTTCGGGGGCCCCCACACCATATCAGGATGCAGAAGAGGGCCTTTAGGGTACAGCTACACAGGGATTAAAAAAACCTTTTGGTAGCCAAGGTCAGCTGACTTGGGCTTGCAGGGCTTGGGCTGGAGCCTGAGCTCTGGTAGCCTGTGAGGGAGGAGGGTCTGAGTGCACATGTTGCCACAGCAATTTTTAACCCTGCAGCCAGAGCCCCTGGAGCTCAGGTCAGCTGGCGTAGGCTAGCCATGGCTATGCCACAGGTTTTTCATCCCTGTGTAGATGTACTCTGAGTTACTTCTCTAGGCCTGTTTTTGACAGCTATAGTACAAGAGGGATAAGTTCTTGGGTGTAGATTTCCCTTTTGAAATGAAGGACTTTGATCCTTAAACTGCTTGAGTTGCAGTCTGCATGAGAGCTAGGTAAAAGCAGTGCTTGGGGAGGGAGTTTGTTCTCGTATTAACATACTAGTTTTAATAATTTCTCTCTACAAAAGTGAGATTTGCAGGAGATAAAGAACAACCAGGAAATGAGTTCGTTTGAAAGGAAAAGATACTTTGCTATGGAAAATGACAGGTGCCTCAATTTAATGACACTTTTTTTAAAGATGGGGATGCAAACTAAAGGGATGTGCAGAGAAAGTTGTAGTATACAGTCCCCACAACTTGAGTGCCACCGATCAAACTGAGGTGAAGAGAGTTGGTCACAATTACCTGTGAAAGGCATGCTACCTCTTACTTTCCTTGCACCAAATCCTCTAGTCTGCACAAAGAAAAACAGAAGTGCTAAGACATAGTAAGGACTAAACAAGCCCCTATCTTCTGCAAATTTATATATTTTTGGTGTACTAAAGATCAAACTTCCATATTATATGCATTTGCTCAACTATTATTGTAATGGCATCTGTTTGAAAATTGGTCATCAGAATTAATCTGAGGATCACAAAAGGAATAACACATTGCACACATTCTGAATGCATTTCTTTATGGGAGAGCAGAACTTTATCTGCACCCGTGTCTGAAAGAAAAAGCTTACCCAAGGCTCTTGATGAAACTTACAACTTTTTTCTGAATCTGGTAAAGCTGTGTTTCTAATTTACTGATAATCTGTTGCAGTGATTATTTCCATACTGTTTGCTAATTTGTATGAGCTGAAATATGTACAGTGATTGTAAGATAATTGAAAATTAGTACTTCAGCCTTAGCTACACTGAAAGACTTTGAACAAATGTTACTTTGTGGAAAAAACAAGCAGTATTAAACCAGATACGTGTGATTATACACTAAAGGTGACATAAAAAGTGACTTTAATCAGAATCTGCATTTACTTTTTAACCTAGTTCTTGAACATGAAATTGAGCTGGTTTCATTTTAAAAAATAACCATACTATATTTCACATTCAGGAAAGGAGTAGTGATATTTGACAGGGGGAGAGGCAAAGAAGTGACTGAACTTTTGAATTTAAGTGCTTAAAAAAAATGTGACAGTACTAGACCTTGACCAGCAAATAGATTTATGGATGTGTGTCCCTCTGTGCCCCCCATACATTATTTATTTTATCCTTTTTTACATTCCTGCAATATGTGAGGAAGTAACCCCTTCATTTTATTTGCATATAAAAGAATGTGCATAGATTGTTCACTTATTCGGTACAGAAGCCATCCATTTAAAAAAAAAGTGTGTGTGTGTGTGTGTGTGTGTGTGTATACACACACTCTATTTACCAACGACCTTACTTTGTTTTATCTTTAGTGATACCATAAAATGGTGGTTATAAGCTGCCAATATTCATGAAAGCACCAGGAATTCATCAACTGCCATTTTACATTCATGTTGAATCACTGACCATCTTTTCAGCTACTCCCACTGTCTCTAATGCATACATAAAAATTGGGAAGAGGTTATTAACTTTCTCTATTGTTAAGGCGAAATGTGCATATTATGCTATTTCACCATCGAGGGGGGCCTGTTTATATGCAACATACAGGATTGTAAAGACATTAACTACAACTGTGAAGTTAAAGTGCATTTAAACTCTATAGGGATGCTCTTATTCACAGCAAAGTGGCCTTAGTTTGCTTTAGCTAAATCACCTCTGAAGATGTATACACACAGAGAAAAATATGGTAGGAACCATTTTGATTTTAATATATTTGTCATTAGCTAATGCCTTTGGTTTGCCGAGTAAGGAAAATACATGTGAAATTTAAGAGAATTTTACTTCTTTGTGTCAGTAAGGGGGAAACTATTAGGATATTGTCCCAAAAGGAAACCTCAACAAGAATCTACCAACAAAACTGCTGCCCTGCTACTGCTAATATTTGGCAGGTTTTCTCAATTAGGACTTTATTGAGCTGCCTTTTCTAGTCTCAGTGGCTGGCTTTCCTACAGTCTGAAATCCAGCTTCTGCCATGAGAAATTCCATCTAACACATAACTGTCAGCAGTCTCATGCTGTCATGGTCTTCACCCGTACTCTGAATGGAACCAACATCCATGCAGCACCTCTGTGTTTTGGAGTATTCAACAGTCCATAGCTCTAGCATCAACTCAGTCTGGTACATCTCTCCTAATTAAACCTTCCTGAAGGTGTGAGGTCAGTTTCTTCCCAGCTAGAATGTTTAGTAGCATTTATGTCCATAGTCAGGTTCTTTTAAACACAGGTTTGAGAGAGCTAAAGAAAGAGCAAAAATTTGACTGGCACACCTAGCTAATCTGGATGTTTTATTCACACTAACAAAATCAGGATTGAAAATCTTGGATCCTGCAACTAATTGCATGCTAGCAGACTATACACCTGCCCTGAGCCCCTCTGGCTTCTGTCCCAGCATTTAGGCTCACGTTTCTTTCATAATCTTCATTTCATAGCTGTTCAGGTAATATTGTAGCACAGCAAGACACTTGCTAGATTGTTCTGTTAGTAACCATATCTTATCCTTCAGCACCCATGTAATCTCTCAGGTGTGAAAATCTGCCTGCAGCTCCTCGGCTGGCACAACGTCTCAGCAGTGTGTCATATAAGGGAGTAGCTCTACGTACTTTATTGCATTCTTCCCTGCCAGGCCTAAGGAGCTCCAGGAAGTGACTTGACTGGCATCTCTTTGGGACCCACTACCCAGTCCAGGGGAAATGGGGGAGGAGAAACTGAGAACAAGCTACCAGTTAGTGATCCCTGAATCTCTGCCATAGCCCAGGTTATAGCAGCCTGAGGGCTACTCTAATTTGCTCCACTCCCTTCGCACCACATAACAGAGAATATGCCCCCAAAATATTGATTGCAGCCCCCAGCTTGGTGTGAATAGTATATTACAGTTAATGGTAAACTGATCTCTAATACTAACACACAGAAGAGTCTCTAATGGAAAAATCAATATGCTACAGGATGTAGCTGGCTTAATTCTGTAGGTGACCCTTTCCCCTCTGTATTGCTATGGAAAAAGTTCCCAGGAGTGGTATTAGACTTGACCATTGACTTACATAAGACTTAGCACATGCTTAATTGTATTGCTGGACCAGGGAAAGTGTGTTCAGGTCCTTGCACACTTGACGCTCCTAGGCTGTTACTGTGCACTGTTAAAGAGCAGCTGAGAACCACCCCAGAGGGGCTTTGTTATGAAAGTTTTAGATATTAGTATAATAGTGATAGGTAAATAAATTAACTTTGTACATAAGGATACAACCTTTCTGTAGTGTTGGTTTCTGCTACTATGTCAGCCCTACATTGTGAAATAGTTTCTACATCAGAATTGCATTTACATTCAAAGATAGGCACAAACTAGCGCCTCAAGAATCAGGTTATCCCCATTATTGCTAGAGATAGGAGCAACACTAAAAATGTGGTTGCAGGTACTCCTACGTTTTACAGAACAGCACCACTGATATTTATATACAAATACTTTAAAAAGTAACATGGAGACTGATGTCCTTCAGGAAGATGGAATTAAATAAATCACTAGCACTTCTAATCTAGGTCTCATTTGTGTCAAGGATAGGTGCCCTAAATTACTACTAATCAAACATTTAAATTCAACCTTCATGATGAGGGTAGACCAAAGCCAGTATATTTTGAAAGCCCAATGCAGGAGACAGAGAAATCTTGATCCCAGTCTTCTACTATAAAGTAAAAAAAGTCTGTCTTTGAAGAGAAAGCAAATGAACAAGCATACATTCCATATAATTGCTGAGTGCACACTATTACAGTTCTTGCCACTATCAGTTTGTAGGTAGCATTAGCCCACAGTCTTTGGGAGATGGGGTACCCTTTTGAACAGGCAGAGCACTGGAATGACCTATCCCCCTCACTTCTTTGTACAATGGGGAGCACCTTGTGAGAAAGCACCATCACTACTACCCTCTACTCCAAAATTCCCCTATGAGAAGACGGTCAAGAAAGAATGCTTCCAATAAAAAGGGATCCGTTTTTCTCTCACCCTTCAGAAGTGAAGGAATTCTAGGGCCAAGGAAGTATGATATATAAGGTGCTCTCTAGCTTTAAACCACTGCTTTTTACACTCCCCCTTTTCTTGAAGAGGAGCCTGGCAACTTTATTCCTGAAAGTACAATTTTTAGGACAGCTTCAAAGCTAAAAGTCCTTCTACAGCTGTCGTTGGGGAATTCACATCAAAGAGGATACGCACACGTTGTTCCGATGTCAGCACTGACGGTTGGTGGAAATCTCTGTGGATTTAC